AGTTAGTAGCTCTTGTGTGGTGAAGTGAATTAGATTAGAAGTCTATTGCTACTAGACTTGTGTAGGGGCTTGCTTGGGTGAAGTTGAGCTAGGGCTTGCTATTTTACTAATCACCTTTGCATTATTGTTTATTAAGTTTGTAGAATTTTTTATAGGCTATTCACCATCTCTAGCCATCTAAATCCTTATAGTGTGGCTAGGAAATTTAGCTCCCTTGACAACTCCTACCGATATCCACACCTCTTGGAGCTCAAGAAACCTATCCACTCACATTTGCTTAGATTGAGATTGCACTTGAGTGAGATTGGAGAAGATCTAGTGCATGTGTACTGAGAGTTTGCATCTAGTGGCACTAGCGATTGTAGAAGCTATGATATTCTTGTTACTCTTGGTGGTTGCCACCACTAAGACAGATTGGAGGCAGCGGACTCCATTGAGCACTATGTGGAGGTTGTACAGGCGCTCTGGAGGATGATTTGTGAGGGGCTTTCATAGTCATCCCCGCTAGTGGAGGTGAAGAGCAACTCTAGTGGATCGAGGCTTGTGTTGTACCTCGTGATTGTTTGGCCCATTGGCGAGCTCTCATGTCGGAGCTAACATTGAGGGCTAGTTGAGCTTGCAAAGGAGCACATTCATTAGACATGCCTCAATGGAGACACAGGTGGCCGACAAGCTATTGAACCTAAAAGAAAAATTTTGTGTCGTGTTGGTGTCTGATGACTGGCTACCTTTCTACGGGGTTACCCGGAGCGAGGATTGGTGGGCTTTAGCGTAAAGTCAAACTCAATGGTTAAGGTGACACAACGATTTAGTCAGGTTCTGGCCGATGACTAGCGTAATACCCTACGTCCTATATGGTGGATTGCCTTGTGTTGGATTGCGTAGTATGATGTGTTACTAGGGGGTGCTCCTGCCTCTCTTTATATACTCCAGAGAGCAAGTGCACGGTTCTAGACCTAGTAGTTTAAGACATAAGAATTTTAGTCCTATTACAAAGATAGACTTTCTGTAGTCCTACTAGGTCGGTTCTTCTTGCCTTGGAAGCCACGCCACCTTGTTCCGCACCTTTTTGGCAGTCCGTGGACCGGCCCATCTCCTTGCCGGGTAGTCGGCCCCATGGGGAACCCTTAGGATCTTGGTTCCATCATGTCCCCTCTTTTATGTGGTTTGCGCCCTCTACACTTTCTTTTCACTTGTTGTTCAAGTAGCAAGTGTAGTTGTGTAGCTCTTGTGCCTTAGCTTGAGTGGTTGCCTAGCTCTGGTGTTACCTTATTGTTTACCTTTGCTCACTAGACTTGTTTGGGAGCTCTCTTGATTAGCCGTGCTTGTTGTTCTAGTGTGTAGCTAGATGCTTTACTCTTCTGCTAGAATTGTGTAGGGGTGCTTGTTTAGCTTGCAAGTCTAGCGCAAGTAGTTGTTATTAGTGCCCTCCTTTGTTTCTAATAGTTTTGCTAAGTGTTGTGCTTTACAAGAATTTTTTAATAGGCTATTCACCCTTCTAGCAATCAACTGGTCATTTCAATGCCCTGCTGCCTCATTAGAGCTTGTTTGGTAGTTATCAGGACCTGGTCTCATGCACCTCCTCTCTTGTATTCACCGCCTGCCACCTCCACCTTGACTTACTAGCCATCGTCCTGCTTGTTGCCATGCCCTCGCTGCTGTCCCATGCACTGTCTATGCCTCACGTAACCTGCCCAATTGCATCCTACTTGCAGCCATGTCCTCGTGGCTGTCCTATGCACCCGCCCATGCCTCGCCTTGACCGTTAGGACCTGTGCGAACCCCTACCTTTGCCTCTGGCCACACTCTTTGTCGGCCCGCCTTTTATCCTTGCTGTCATCCCACACCTCACACTCGCTGTTGCCCCGCGCGTGCATGCCTACTTGCGCCCTAGGCTATGCTTGGTGCTGGTTGGTAGCCTAATCGACTGGAGTTACAGTTTTGGAAGGGAGAGATGGATTTGGGGAGAAATAACTCCTGTTTGGATAAAGTGTCTCTGAAAGGAAGGGAAAAAACTTACTTGACTATCAAGTTTTATGTAAAAATAAGAGCAATGGTATATAAGGGATCAAAAAATCTAAATTGATGGCAATGAATAAACACATAATTTTCAGTGGTATATGCAGGTCATAATAAGTTTACAACTTTAAATAACATTGAAGGAATTTTCTCTTTGAAAATGATAGAGTAGTTTGTGGGTTCAATCAAGAATAAATGTGTCTGAAGCTAAGTGGAAGTAAATATAAGGATAAAAGTGGTAAAAAAATAACATTAAATATGCATGCCTTATTAGATTTGTATTGCCCAGTAATAAAAAAAAACTATATATGTTTTTCGCGTGAGTCTCCAACACAACTTTTCTAGTGCCATTCCTATTCGAATATACTTACAAAATAGCACCGATCATGAGATTATGAACACATATTTAAGACTTCATGTTTCTAAACTAAATATTTTTATGTGTGCATGTATGTTTTTCAAAATAAATGAAGCAAAATGGAGCAAACACGTTTATATTACCTTTTTGCGGAAGAGGTGCAGGGCGTCAACGGGATCTAGGACTTTTAAGTTGTAGACATTGTTGTGGTTTCCTGAGCAATGCTCTGCAATATCATTTTTCCTTGTAGTCACAATGATTCGGCTTGTCTCCTTCAAATGAGGGAGCAGACATGGTCTTATCTGATCCCATTCTGAGATAGATGATACGTCATCCAGAACAATCAAGCAGCTCTTCATATTTACAAGCCTTTTCAACTCCTCTTTCAACTCCTGATCACTCATCGTTGGTAATGGTTTTTTAGTAACAGCTCTATTATGCAACAGTTGCTCCTTTGTAGAAGATCCTTGATCTAGTCCAACAACCAAGCTTTTAAGGAGCTCCACAAGATCGAAAGGACGCATAATTGTGACAAAAACAAACTTCTCAAACTTGTCCTCAAACTTATCACTCAGCTTTGGGCTTTTATAAACACTGTTAACTAGAGCGGTTTTTCCAAGACCACCCATTCCTCACACAGAGATCACCTCAGCCTGTTGGCTATTTTTTGAAGTTAATAATTTGACAATGTCGTCTATCTCCTTCTTTCGCCCAATGAGTTGAGATTCCTCGAAAGCAATAGATAGATCACCCTTTATTATCTCAGCAGGGACTTGTGTAGGGTCTTCTGTACGGATTGTGGCTGCTTCTCGGCTAGACGCTGTGCTCAATGAATCGCTTCCTTCTTGAGAACCCTAAACAAAAGAAAACAATGATTAATTAGGATGATTCTTTAGCCGCCAATTTTTCTGGACAGTGTGTACCCTTCCTGAGCGCACTGGCAAATGTATAGAGTTGTTATTACGATTCATAAAAAAAAGTTATGAATGAGGGAGGGTATATTAATTGTTAACCAGAATTTATCAAAATTGGATATAGATAATAAAGCATCTATAACGTTAGAGCATGAACAATTGAGAGTAGCAAAGATAAGAAATCTAGATTAGTTGTGGGCCAGAATTAGTACATGATTTCTAGCAGAAATATCTTTTATCATTATTAGGACGTGCAAGGGCATGGGTTGGGTTAATGGACTAATTTGAATATTTTATGTTTCTATGTATATTTGTGACTAGTGTTTTGAAATTCTGAGAGATTTACAATGCATTTCCATGAGCTCAAATGAAAAACCATATCATTATATTAGCTGTTAAGTGTTAACTGCAATATATATATATATATATATATATATATATATATATATATATATATATATATATATATATATATATATATATATATATATATATATATAAGTTATTTTATAGCCAGCTACAGGGTACACTACTAGAGAACAGACTTTAGAACGATGTTCCAATTTGGCTTTAGCCTCGGCATTTTTTTGCCCCCGGGACTAGAGAGGCCTTTAGTCCCGGTTGGTGTCTCCAACCGGGACTAAAGGTCCCTGCCCAACGGCTACTGCGCTCGGCACAGTGGCAGGGGACCTTTAGTCCCGGTTGGAGACACCAACCGGGATTAAAGGTGGACCTTTACTCCCGGTTGGAGCCACCAACCGGGACTAAAAGTCCTCCAACCTTTAGTCCCGGTTGGTAATAACAACCCAGACTAAAGGTAGACCCTTTAGTCTTGGTTGGTAACACCAACCGGGACTAAAGGTCCCCCGATGGGTTAGTTCAAAAGGAAAGCATCCCATCCATTGTTAGATGTGTTGTGTAGGTGGGGTGGTAAGCTACGCGCGAGGCAGTGCAAGAGGTCTTTGGTTCGAATCTCACGGGGCGCAGCGGTGGGAGGCATTATTTGAATCTCACGGGGCGCTGCGGTGGAAGGCATTATTTTTTTTAAAGCTGGAAGGATCTTTAGTCCAGGTTGTGGCAAACCGGGACTAAAGAACAACACCTTTAGTCCCGGATTGCTAGTCCCGGTTGGTAAACCGGGAGTAGAGTTAGTTCCCAACCGGGACTAGATCTCATTTCTGTAGTAGTGGTAGTAGTTCTATATATATATAAAGCATATATTATTTCTTCTGTTTCTATTGACATGGTAGTTCCAACTGACACTTTAGCTAGCCTAGATAATTGTATTAGAAGGATACGAAGAGGTATTACAATATTAAGAATGAGACAATTTCTGAATATGGAGTAACTGAATAGTATTACCTTTTTGTAGAATGCATAAAGAGTTTGATCATGAGACAATCGCTTTAGCTCTGCCGCTTGGCTTTCTTTACCTGCACATAAGCTTGCAACTTCAACTTGCATCGTTGACACTATTATTCGGCTTCCTTTCTTAATATTTTGGAAGCATTTTTTGATCTGATTCCACTCTTGTATGGTGGACAGGTCATTCAGCACAATGAGACACCTCTTCTTATTCACATATTCATTGAACTTCTTAGCTAAATCTTGCTCTGCCTCCTCTATCTCAAGGAGAACTTCAACCGCTTCGGCTGCTTCAAACTCGGTCACCAAGCTCTGGACAAAGCCTCTTGTGCTGAAAGGATGCATCACTCTGACCCATGCTCGTCCTGGAAATTTGCCTTGGACATCTGGGTTCTCATAAGCTTCATGATGGTGGAAGCTATGCCCATATCGCCGCTTGTGCCCCACACCGAGATCACTTTAGGGTCCTCGTCATCCATTCTGATCAATTGGACGAGGTCCACTCTCTGGTCCATTTGCTTGGAGGCATGCCTTGCATCATCAACACCAAAGATGGCTGCACCAATGGCAGTAGTTTGCTCCGCTGCAGTGGCGGTTTTGGAGCCCGAAGAGCCTTTGATGAGATGGTAGCGTGCATTCCTCTGGCTGACGTCCTCGACCTTGGCCCTGAGCTCCTTCATCCGCTGGGCCACACGACGCCGCTCGAGCAGCGTGCGAGGGAATCGCCACCAGGATGGCTTTTCCAGACGGACTGAGAAATCCTGGAGGTTGTCCTCGACGTCGTAGGCCGTGTCGCGGACCTGCTTCACCCAGGTCTTGACCACCTTGCTGTCGTCCCTCTCCTCGTGCGCCTCCATCATGAAAGACCGCATCATCTCGAGCTCGTCGGTGATGAACGCGTGGTCACGCTGGATGCCGAGCTGCAAGGCCACCTCCTCCGCGAACGCGGATTTGGCGTAGTCAAGCGCTCCATTCAGCACGGACTTGCCCACGCTCAGCGCCGTCTTCTCCATGGAGCAGCCAGCGAGTTGTGTTTATCTGTGGATTTGTGGCAGATGGAGGAGTCGATGTTCATACGACCTGCTGCCTGATGACAGGTCTCCTATAAATGTAAATGACTGAGCTGCCAGCAGAACAGCGGAAACAGCCATAATGGCTGCCCTGGAAGGCCACACTCAATGCAGTCGCCTCCATAGCTCTGTAGGTTCTGCTTGGATTTGTGGCGGAGCTGATGCACATACACTCAACCTTATGACAGGTTCATGTATATACCAGAGGACGCAACAAACACAAGGCCCAAATTCATTCTCTGGATTGCGGGTAAGAGAAGGCAGAAACGAAGAATAATCGACGGATTGGACAATAGTAGCCTAGCACTGGCTGTGGCAGGCATGAAGCAAATCGCATCAATTTGTGGTCTCAAATTGAGGTGAGCAGCCAGAACAGTGATGTATATGTATATATATAACAGTTTAATAAACGAGACGCATCGGGTTATTGGATGTTGTCGGGGAGCGAGGCCCACATTTTGGCTGCATCAAAAACAACGTCGGATGTGGACTCCCGTGAGGCGGATCGAACCATCCTAGTCCGTGGACGCCGCCGCCGTGAGGCTGTTGTTGCTGGAACGAGCTCAGACATGTGACCACGGAGGACCCGAACATGTGATCCTGGTGTACCGTAGATACCGCCGTGGCCGTGCACGGGAGCAAGCCGGCGGCTGCTTTCATTTACGTGAAGACAATAATGGACAGATCAGAGAGGCACGCACGCTCTCTCTCTGTAGACAACAACAAAATTATGTCTCTAGAGTAAAAGAGGGAATAAAGAGAATTAAAGAAAAAAAAACATGCTCGAACAGATTATTTTCTCTAGAACTTTTCCTGATCTCAATCTCTCAAATGAACCGAAACAACTATCATTTTTCTCAATCGTCTTTCCTCTCCTCTGTCATTGAGGTCGGTCCACCGGACGGTGAGCCGTTGTTGCGCTCTGGGTGGGCAAGGGACCGCATGCGTGCGGGCCGCCATGCTGGGCGGGCGAGTGCTCCGACTTTGGTGGTTCTTGACGACCACATGGGAGGATGAAGATTTTAGGTGTGTTTGGTTGGACGACATGTGTCTATCCATGAATAGGTATTGCCGTTCATGGGTGAGTTGGATATGGATACCTCAGACAGGGAATTTTTATTGAGATGCTAGATATCCTTGTCATAAAAAAATTGTCGGGCGAGCTCATCTTTGTTTTCAAATCTTTATCATTTGTAAATAAATTAAATATTTTTAATATAATATATTATTGCTAAGTAATTATGATAGCAAGATTAATTTTAATAAGTGTTAATAAAGTGATTAGTGTATGTTTTGTGTACCAATTAGGATAACTAGTATCCATCAACCCGTGCTCTTGCATGGGCTAGAATCTTAAAAGAGATATAAGCAATAGTTATAAATTTAATGTCTCTGATAATAAAAAATTACTTGTATTAAATTATGTTTTTTCTCTTTGTTCATTTTCTAACATGATAGGCATTGCAGATGCTATGTAATCTTTGTTATTGTCATACCCAATTTTAAGGATAAAATGGGATGCAAAATCTTATGTGCGCCCAGAGATCAGTCACACACATAAGCCGATAAATTATGAATAGTATCATCACAAGTATTTATTACATCACGTATAAGACAGAGTTATCACATAAATGTAGCGGAAATAATAAAAGATCTCTCGCGGAAGCTCCATTTCACAGGGACATCGACTGGTTGACCACAAGTTTACTCATAGTCATCTGTTACCCATCCGGAATTTTTATCTAAATAATGAAAATAAACAAGTGTAAGTACATGTCGTACTCAACAAGTGTAACATGGGGTTCATGAGACTCAGAAGGCTTGACACATGTTTAACAGCAATCATCTTTTAATTGTCACAATTTTAGCTTAAGAGTAGCAACAAATTGTTTTAATTCCCAATGTAAAACATATGATCAAATGTAAACATGAATAATGAATAGCATAAACAGATAATCCTTAGTGTTCATCTATTCCGTAAGGGTTCCAAGGCCGCTCGTGACCATAAACACGGCTGATATACCAGTTTTACACTCTGCAGAGGTTGTATACTTTCACTGTAAGTCGTGATACCCATATGCCCGGGTTAATTACTTCCAAAACACTTCCAAGATAAGCAGGCAGGGGTCACTATGAAGCCTTTCAAAGGTTCATCTAACAAGTTAGGGCCATTAGATTCATTCGGCAAATAGATGTAGAGCCCCCTTCCCGATGGCACATCGACACGCAGCCTATACATATGGGCACAGAGGCTGCAATATACCCGATTCGTCAAGCCATTCTTACGCTAATAAAGGTAACCACTAACAAGCTAGAAAAGGAAAAAATCTACTTAACCCCCCATCTTTCATACATGGTCTACTTCACCCCCCAACTATAAAACCGTCTGTTTTACCCCCTGAACTTTCCAAAAACGTCTATTTTACCCCCCACGGGCGGTTTTTGACAGCGGTTTTGCTACAGTAACATCGGGTTGCTACAGTGTCGGTGGTTTTGGATTTTCTTTTTTTTATTTATTTTCGGTGAATTTTTGAAAAATCATAGTAAATCATAGAAAAATCATAAAATAAAAAATCTAATTTTATTGGATTCCACATGAGTAGATCTACACAGTGAATATATAAATACGGTATGCTTTAGTATAATTTTTTACTGTAGCATTAGATTAATTGGAAAATCTAATGTTGCCTGTAATTAATTGGAATAAAATAGGCGGTACTGTAGCTGTAGCAAAAATCTAATGCTGTTACTGTAGCAAAACCGCCGCTAAAAACCACCCGGGGGGGTAAAATAGACGGTTTTAGAAAGTTTAGGGGGTAAAACAGACGGTTTCATAGTTGGGGGGTGAAGTAGACCATGTATGAAATGTGGGGGGGTTAAGTAGACTTTTTCCAGCTAGAAAATATCCTCATACTGAGGTAAAGCCAGAGCCATGTAGCCCTCACAGCTGTACTGTAAGTCCCGGATGATCACTTACAGATGAGTCCTTAGGGAAAGGAATCTAAAGCATTTAGAAAGTAGCTAAGTACTCCAGCCCCCTGTTTCCAAGTTGCTAAAAAGTCATATTTTAATGTTTATTGCATATAAAATTAGTCAAGTTACAAGATCATAGTTTAATTGAGCACTAGCAAAGCTACCCAAAGCATATCCCGCAGGTGACAAGGTATAAGTTCAATTCTAGAGAATTTCTATCAAGGTGACACATGCAACATAAATTTAATAAATTAAAGTGAATAGAAAACAAGGATGATCCCATGCTATACTTGCCTTGAGCAAAGTACTCTTGCTGGTCCTGCTCGTCAAAGTTGTACCCTTAATCTCCCATGAATTGCTCATCGTCTACACTCGATAACACAGCAACACACAAACATTCAGGAGCAATCATGCAAAGCAAACAAAGCTATAGATTAGGACAGTACACCAACAGCATAAAATCAAGATGAAAAGTTTGGAAAACGAATCTACGTTTCGCTACGAACACACAGACGCGAAGATCACAAAAATCAGAGCTAAAACGAAGAAGTTATGAATTAAATAAGATTTCTTATAGTAAAATAATAGATTAAATTTAACCTCGAATTTTAAATGTTAAAAACCTACTTAATAGTAGTATAAACATGTAGATTACTTAATTATGAACCTAACGCAACTTGAACGGATCAAATCGGAGTTAAAACGGAGATTTTATGGTTAAAACAAGTTGAGTGGCAAAACTGTAAATAGCTGAAAACGTATTTTCAATCTAACCGAACCAAAGTACACTTTTAGAAAAAGAAAATAGAATCTAGAAAGGCGCTAGGGACGGCGGGTTAATACTGAAATAATTATAAGGGCTCTTATGCAAAGTTCCAGAACGAAGGGGTATCCTTCATCCTGGGCCGCCGGATTAGAGATGGATGGCCGAGATTGGATCTGGCGGTGGAAGAAAAAAAAACGTTGCCGAAACAGGGCCGACGGCGAGATTGACTGCGGTGGCGCCATGAATGGCTCGTCGGAGCTTCGGTTCTCGGCCTATAGTGCATTATTCGATGAAAGAAGAAGTCTGGGAGAGAGAGGAGGGGATGGAGAACTCATCGAACCCAAGAGCAATGAACGGGAAGCAATAGGGGCGGCGCTGCGTTCGGCGGACGGCGACGACGGGATGTGTCTGGCTTGGACACAACGCAAGGAAGAAGATGGAGCACCTAACTGGTGGGCCAAGGCGGTCAGCGGCCAGAGAGGACACGTGCACGCGGGCGTGCGGACTTGGCCGGGCGCTCGGCTGGGCCATGCGAAGGAAAAGCCACGGCACGTCATGCGAAGCTGGGCCAGCTCTTGCTGGGCCGCTACAGGAAGGGAGTGAAATGGGCCGGGGCAGAGAGGAAAGAAGAGCAAGCCCGTGCGGGGAAAGAAAGGCAGGCCGACTGGGCCGAAAGGAGAAGGGAGGATGGGGAATTCAGTTTTTTTTCCTTTTCTAATTTTTCCAAAGCAAATTCAAAATGCAAGTTCAAATTGATTTAGAATCCAACTTCAAACCGAGCAATACAAAATGATATGCAACGACATGAATGCACATACATGATTGTGAACCTACATTTGATTTTAATTTGATAAAATTTATTATTCTCCTAAATTCAAATTCCCACAAAATGCATAATTAATCACTTTCTCCTATTTCAAAAATATGCAAAATTTAGGGTGTTACAATTCTACCCCCTTAAAATGAATCTCGTCCCCGAGATTCGGACGATGCTTACTCAAATAACTGTGGGTATGTTTTTCTCAAATCTTCTTCTCTTTCCCAAGTAGCCTCATCTTCTGTATACCGATTCCACTGAACCTTACACATCTTTATAACTCGACTCCTTGTAACTCTTTCTGCCGTTTCCAAAATCCTTACTAGAAACTCCTCATCAGTTAGATCTTCCTTAACAGTAAGCTCTTCTAATGGTATCTGCTCCTCT